TGGGTATAGGGTTCCTTGCAATAGCCATTCGATCTTTCCCTTTGCTCCATTCTCTTCCTTCTCGGAAGCTTCCTCGATCTTCGCTGCTTCTGTCTCGAAGACGTTGATGAAAGTATTCCCGATAATCTTGCGTTTCTGCTCCGGATCCTCGACACCAGCAAGTCGGGAGAGGAAGAGCTCAGAAGCATCCACTACGGTCAGGTTGACCCCCAGATCTTTATTCAACATATCGTTGACTTGTTGTGCTTCGTTTAGACGAAGCACGCCGTTGTCCACCATGATGGCGTGAAACCTGATACGCGAGTAAGACATAAGTTATGAAAATGACATGGAGGCACACCTGTCGCCGATTGCCTCGTGCATTAACTTGGCTGCAACGGTGCTGTCGACGCCTCCGCTGACCGCACCAATCACACGGCCTTTCTCACCACATATCTCGCGGATGCGGTCGATTTCCTTGCCAATAAATTCCTCCTGCAATCACATTGAGTATCACAATAACGCAACACAGCAATTGACTCACCATTGTCCAATTCGCTTGGCATTGGCATATGTTCAACACAAATCGACCGATGAGCTGCCTTCCTTGAGGGGAATGTGTTACCTCTGGATGGAACTGAATGCCATAGAAAGGCTTGGAGTTATGTGCAATTGCGGCGTAGGGAGCGGTGCTCGTCCGTCCAATGACATGGAAGTCAGGAGGTATGAGAGACAGTTGATCGCCGTGCGACATCCAAACCTTATCAAAGGTCAACTTAGCTTATGACAAACAAAACAAAAAACGCACCTGCATCTGATCGCCGAGGCCTTCAAACAGGGCATCGACAGAGTTCCCTAATTCGTTGAACCTGCTAATCTGAACTTCTGCAAGCCCGTATTCGCGATGATCGCATTTTGCTACATGGCCCTTGTAATTCCAGCAGATCTCCTGGATCTCGCGTGAGTTAGTGTCCATCGAGATATTTGAGAAAACTTGACCTGGAGGCCATAGCAGATACCAAGGATAGGGACGCCCAGAGTGTAAATACCGGGGTCAGCGTGAGGTGCGTCGTCATCGTATACAGAGTACGGAGATCCAGAGAGAATGATCCCTGAAATTTGTGTCAGAAATGCGTTTCCCTCTGCATCATATAAGTGAACCTTTAGGCTTGAACTTGAGGTCTGCTAGCTTTGATGTACACGGCATAAGCTCTGCGTATACGTTCAACTCGCGGCATCTCCTTGTTATGAGGTGACTGTACTAAACCAGCACTCATGGTCAATACATGAGGCGATTTGAGTTAGAATATGACATATCCCGAACCTGCGAACCGAAATCAAGAATAAGGATGGTATCGAACTGATCATGTATTTCGGCCATGTTTTATGATTGAAAGTTGAAGAAGAGATCTTTCATCAGTGAGCTAATCGGTTGCTATTTTTAGATACAGTGAGACTGTAATCCGAAAATTTGAGCTCGCTACCTTTACATAACCATCCTATTTAGGTCAAGAGACGTAATATTTACGTCTGCACCGCTTCGACAAATTAGGATGCAAAAGTACCGTGTTAATAACTGCATTGCATCTGATGGGAAGTGATAGGGAACCTCCCGAGCACCGTGATGCATGATGCATGATGGCCCATACAATTGAAACAAGAAAATATTTTATCGATGGCGGCCCTTTGACAAAAGATTCAATTCAGGTTCAAAATTCCCTCAGAGGCGGCCCGGACTTCGAATACTATATTCAAGGTCCCTGATCAAACTTAATGAAGCTTTGAAGGGTCACATTGATGAAGACGTGGACTGAACTGCTGGTAACCTATCCTAACATGAAGTTTAGAAATAAGGTTTACTACTACTAGCCTAAGACTGTTACACACCTTTTGGTCTAAGTTATAATTTGAATCGTGCAGGTATGGCTCTGTCCGGATCCAGAACACACCATAGTAGGCGTGCATGGTCTCTTGATGACATACTAATTTACTATACACGGGTCGAGTGCTAACGGGCTCGCAGACTCTAAGCACGAGCTAGCTGCTAGTAACACTTAACAGCACTTACGGCTGATGAACTATTCGTCAATTTTAATATAGTGAGTCCGTGTAAATACATAATTATAAGTTGTCTATGGGTACAACGTTTGATAATATAGAAACATAATCAAGTGTTTGAGTGTCAGTGCCAAACCAGCAATTGTAGACAAGACTAAAAGGCGAGACGCAAGAATATGGAATACAGTATGCAATCTGAAAGAGAAGTCGATGCGGGAAGATGCACATAACATAAATATTCACAATGCCCAAGGCTTACCGACGATCGTCGCCTCTTTTCCTAGAGTTAGAAGCACCCGAGAGCAGTTTCTGCTCCCAGAAGGCGCTCCCCTCTCCGTCTTCCCAATCCCCCGTTACCGGATTTCTTTCAAAGTCACCATCCCTGTATCCATATCGCTCCTGCAGTAATTTGAGGAGAGGGTTACGAAGGGCAGGGTCCATACGTACGGCCTCTCCAGGATGGTAGCTGCCAACATCATGACGAGACAAACTTTCTTCAAAAAGCGCCTCTTCATATGTGCAACCACAGTTTAAATAACCGGGGGGAGCCATACGGGGTGGGTGTATTCGACGCTCTCGACGCGAATCGTGCCAGGAGCATAGCGCATTTCCAGCGCGATTCAACGAACAGAAAAGCCGTATGCGAGCTTCTGTCCGAGCTTTCCAGGCTGCCTGCACGGCCAGAGGAGTGGGCAGAGTACTAGATGCTGCAGGGGTAGCTGTACTCGTGGACGGCCCTGAGTGTCTAATTGAAGTGTTAGCGATGCTGCGGCCCGCTAATTCTGCTTCAAGCTCCTTGATACGCTGACGGCCCTTTTCATTTTCTAGCTCAAGGTCTTTCACCTTCTTTCGAAGGTGTTTGTTTTCTTCTTCCATGGCGTCCTGTGAAGGGTGGCGAGACCGATCATATGACATCCGAGATCCTGGGCGGCCCAGCATAACGGCGGGAGAGTTTTGAGAAGCACGGTCTTGTTGAAATGATATTTGACTTGGGTAGGTTTGCGCAAATGGCGGGGACCTTGATGTGGCGGATGGATGATTAAGGTGTGGTGTATCAAGACCCATGGTAGGAGTGGTATTGTAGGGGACGGTGGAATGAATATTGGATTGCATGTTTGGCGGAATATTGGACATATTGTGAGCACCAGGCACCCAAGATGTCGGTGCATTTGAGTAAGGAGGTCTGGTTACAGCATTCCATAAGTGTGGGGGAATGTTCATGTCCCCGACGGCGCCAGACAGGCTTGATGTCGGAGTCAAGCTGGAACCAGACGCTTGTGGGCCTATATCCATGTTTCCATGAGACTGGAAGAGCAAGAAGTACATTATGTGAGCATGACAGCGAGGCTGGAGAAAGGTGACTCACTTGGACAAAAGGGCTTGGCAGTGTGTGAGGCGGTGACTGCATGACGCGTTGCCCATTGTCCACAGACCTTCGCCCAGGGGAGTCCGATTGAGAGTAAAGCATCCGACTAGGCGTTCCTCTCGAAGAAAAAGGATGGGTCATGGTCGTGCGTCGAGCAGACACTTTACGAGAATCCCTTTTTGAATGAGCCTGTCGAAGGCTTGAGGATTGAAAGTGCGTTCGTCTCGGGGGAGAACCAGTAGAGGAATAAAGCCGAAGGGCAACGGGTGAGGACGACACAGTGCGACGTTGAGTATTTGAGAAAGTGCGGGTAGAGTTTGAGGGGGAACGTTGGTTCAGTGACGTATTTTCTATAGCCTCGCACTTAATATCCACGGAATGGTCACCCTGGATGCCTTCGAACTGATTAAATGTATGGAACATATCTACAAGGCCTAGGCAGTGTTAATCACGCGACCTTTCGCTGGCAAGGAGAAGATTGGATGACTAGAGCCTCAGCAAGTCAAGCAACGGACAGAGCCTCCAGAACAAGGGGATGGTTGAAGACCTTAGGATGAGTGTCGCGACGGAATTGTTAGTAGTTGCGAAGCAATGTCTGATACAACCGCAAACTCACAGCATAACACGTCTCGACGATTCAATCACAACACCTGCGACGGGCTGTACGGGAGCATTGATCATACCTCCGAAGACTACCATTGCTAGGCTAAGCGCTCTATTATCAAAACATTTTTTGATCGCCAGTTATAAACGCCGGACTTTAGCTGGAGGTCACGGCATGCGATCATCAATGAATATGAATTGCAGTGGCACTGCCCGCCATAGGTCGGGAGTCCTGCATTGCTAGCGGATGGTAGCCAGGTTTGAAGTACAACTTATTTATATGCGTGGACACTGGAATTAGTCAGTGGCAATCGTAATTGCTCGCTGGGAAAGTGGTACGAAACTAGTGTCCTGATTCCTGAAAATTGAAAGCCCAGTCAACACAACTGGGACGCACGTAGTACGTACCCGCGAATGCTATGTGACGTACTTAACGTTCGACAGTGCGGACATCAGGGCCAAGCTTTCCTGGGCGACCGGCACAATACAACATATTCAGCTGTGCCTGTGTCGTGCAGATCATGGGACTGCTGCATCAGACACAGTAACCCTTAATCGACGCCGATCTTCGGATATCGGTTTGATGTCTGGAATAATTGAATGGCACGCGCTTGTCCTCCAGCTGCAATTTACACAACAATATAGGAAGAACAACATAAATTGATAGGAACTTGGGAAGGAAAAATAATTCTAGGTATTATTACTGCCAAGAAGCACTACAGGCAGTGCCAATGTTACATGCAGTAACTGTGATATCCATGCGCTTACATGCTGTAACCATCATAGCCAGTTTGTCAGAGTGTAGCCAAAAGTGCACAAAAACAACGATAGACAATTGGATACACACCAGAAGCTGAAACATGGCTTGATGACCTCAAGTATCCATAGAAGCAAAGAAGAGGCCGGCTGCTCACAGTCAATCAATTATAGCCACGGCTAAGATCCATATGATACTGAATGCAAAAAGTCAAATCATTCGGAGAGCTGCAGTCCCGAAGGACTAAGCACTCAGCGACATGTGCCAGAAATGAATCGCAAAGGTGAGTCTTGGGGGGACCATGGGGGTGGGACCTTGTAAAAAACCCCATGGGTTAGGTCTTGCCTGGTTTTAGAAGCCTGAAATTGATCAACCACTCGATCCAGCTACGGCTTCAGGGTCGTATCGACGTATATCTCGCCAGTGTTTACCCTTGGGAAGAAGGACACTGTATTGGACTGAGTAGATGGTCACGGTACATTGTCCGATGACAAACCTAGACTCTTCCGGCATTTCAATCTCTCCTGTCTTGAGGTCGATCTTGATAAGTTTCGTGATTTCCACGGCAGGACGGTTAGGACATCTGGAAATATAGCCATGTCAAAATTATGTCCACTTCCTGAGGTGTAGCGTTCACACGAACATCCTAAAGATACGAGGGATAGGGAAGCATCGAGGCTGAACTTCTCCACTAGGAAGCTCTTCTGGTTCACATGTATATTGCACTTGAAGAACACATGTCGTTAATTATTCAAGAACGTATCTGTAGAACATTTATCATACCTATTTCCAATAGTCGACATTTCTTTCTCTGAGTCTCTGTCACATCGTCGGATTGTTCAGGGAAGGCCATGTCCATACAATACAGAAACTGTGAGAGAAGAATTGAAGGACGTCAGATAGGGTGGGACTAGATGTATGTCTGTCGACGGCTCGCTGGTCACGAGTCGAGGGTGGGACTCTTGTCATGATAAACTCCCACACGCCTTGTATGGAAACTCCTTGATAAGCGCACGTGGCTTTCCGAGATAAAAAGTCGCAGCAATCAGTTGCTCATCTGGTTTCACTCATTTTCCTTCTCCCATCATCGATCATCTCCTCAGAAATATTTCAACATGGTCTTCAAAGTAGCAGGTATGATGATCATTTTTGTGTCAATTTTGTCGATCCGAACGAGTATTCCCTGTAGATGTCTCTCTCGCAGCGTTCGGTCGCAAGGAGATTGAGATTGCTGAGGTATGAGTTTCGCCTTTTCGCGATCGATCGTCGACCGATCCCACATCTTTTAGAATGAAATGCCAGGATTGATGTTCGTCAGGGAAAAGGTACTTTGTGCGAGCTCGCAGACGAGTTCCTTTTTTTGATTTCCTTGCTTTAGTACGGACCCTCTAAGCCTCTTTCTGGCGCTCGTGTTGCTGGATGCTTGCACATGTGAGTTCGAATGACGATTGATCGTTGCGGAAGTCCTTATGGTCTGCAGGACCATTCAAACCGCCGTTTTGATCGAGACATTGACTACTCTCGGCGCTGAAGTCACCTGGTCATCTTGCGTAGGTGCCTATGATTATCTGATCATCGCGAGGCACTCACTTCCGTTGGTAGAATATCTTCTCGACCCAGGACCATGCTGCTGCTGCGTGAGTATATCTTACTCCATGATATCAGTATCCTAATCATGACTTTATAGTATCGCTGCAACTGGAGTCCCTGTCTTCGCTTGGAAGGGAGAGACTGAGGAGGAATACCAATGGTGTATTGAACAGAGTCTTACTGCCTTCCCTGGTGGCAAGTCATTGAACATGATTCTCGACGACGGTGGTGATCTTACCACCCTTGTCCACGAAAAATACCCCCAATACCTGAAGGGTAAGTATTTTTATCCATGTTGCAACGCACCACTGACTTTGCCGGAATAAAGACATCAAAGGTGTTTCTGAGGAGACTACTACGGGTGTCCACCACCTGTACAAGGCTTTCCGTGAAGGCAGGTTGAAGGTCCCGGCCATCAACGTCAACGACTCCGTCACGAAGTCCAAGTTCGACAACTACTATGGATGCCGGGAATCTCTTGTCGATGGTATCAAGCGTGCAACTGATGTCATGCTTGCCGGCAAGGTTGCCGTTGTTGCTGGTTACGGTGATGTCGGAAAGGGAGTGAGTAGTGTTTTTTTCGCTTTCCCCCGGCTGTCGCTGATGGTTGATTGTGTAGTGTGCTGAATCACTGCGTTCATACGGCGCGCGCGTTCTCGTTACGGAAATCGACCCCATCAACGCCCTGCAAGCTGCGATGGCTGGTTATGAGGTGACGACCATGGAGGATGCCGCTCCGCGTTCAAATGTCTTTGTCACCACCACTGGTAACCGTGATATCATCACTGGCAAGCACTTCTTGGTTATGCCTGAGGATGCTATTGTTTGCAAGTGCGTACAGTATCTATTACTTTGGTGATGCGAACTCACTCTTTGATAGCATCGGTCACTTCGATGTTGAGATCGATGTTGCATGGTTGAAGGCCAACGCCAAGCAGGCTGTCAATGTAAAGCCTCAGGTTGACCGCTTCACAATGCATTCCGGTCGTCACATCATCCTCCTCGCTGAGGGTCGTCTCGTAAACTTGGGGTTGGTTGATTTCAAGTTCAATTTCTGTCCCGTAATTAACCTATGATGAATTACCAGTTGTGCCACCGGCCACCCGTCCTTCGTCATGTCTTGTTCCTTCGCGAACCAGGTGTTGGCCCAGATTGCTCTTTGGACCACCCCAGAGAAATTCCCCCTCGGCGTTCACATGCTGCCCAAGGAGCTGGACGAGGAGGTTGCTCGTGCTCACCTTGCTCAGCTCAACGTCAAGTTGACTGAGCTCAGCACCGAGCAGTCCGAGTATCTTGACATCCCTGTCCAAGGTCCATACAAAGCTTCGCACTACAGGTTAGACAATTGCGCTCTGTCGTCATCTTACATTGACCAACCCCTTCAATAGGTACTGAACGTATCGATCACTGCATGACGGCCTCAACGTGCCCTCGCTAAATAAGAGGAGACGGGATCTTCAACGTCCTTGTAGGTTGGATGTTAATTATGGAAGAGTCTCAACGCTCTTTGTCGAGGTTGACAAAAAGGCTGGCTTCTTGCGGGGCCATTGTTGGGGATTTCCTATACTTAAAAGACTTGGCTTCTTGTAGTACGCTGTGGAGTCGGGACAGTGCAAGCCATGCGGGCCTCAACGCGCCCTATCTATAGTGTAGTCCTATCTATGCAATCGAGATGAGATGAGGATGTTGATTTGCGCAGATATCGGCTAAGCGATTGTATCAGATCATATCAACATCATGCCGCATCGCCGATCGGCGCTATAGCTGGACTTGGATCCTGCGCACCAATTTCGAGCGTCAGACAAGGGCAATAAAGCTTCAATGCAATACTCAAGTTGCACGCTAGACTCATCACTGCCCCGGAATCAATCAAGATGCTTCTCACTTTAAGCATCCCCGAGTTTTGGCTATCGCAGCACTTTTAATTTGGTCACGATACTGAGATCGCAATCATTGAGCTCCGAATGCGCGATTTCAAAATCCAAATGATTTGACACATTGCTCACCAGTACTAGTGTGGGAGGTGCAAGAGACATGCATAATCCTAGAAACACCTTCAACGTGTAGAGCTATTTTTCAGAAAATCTAGCAAAGAATGCATCGAAAACCATGAATTTGGCGCAAAGCCTTGGGGATTGTGCTGGTATCAAAGATAAACAAGTCGTGATCTGTTTTTGTTACGCCTGAGAGTCGCGAACGACGAGCTCCTTGATGCGTCCCTCTGCAAGATCGTACATCCATCCGTGCACAGTAACTTTCTTCGCATGCGGATCTGCCCAAGCAGTGGTGATAGGTTCTGACTTGCAGATATTGTCGACCTGCTTGATGATATTGGCTTTGACGACCTTGTTCAGCGCCTCATTCGCAGAGCACGCGGAAAGATCGAGAGATCGAACGAGTGCGGTAAGGGGGCTCAACCAGCGCGTGAGTGGGTTGGATGCGCTGGGGTTAGTGGCAGCGACTTTGGCTGCTTCTATGCAAGCCATGGCACCTCCGCAGTTGGTGTGACCGACGAGAACGACTGTTGGAGGCGTATACTCGTTAGAGATAGGATCGACCTCATGATAAGAGTAGTAAGAAACTCGCCGTGTTCAACGCCAACTTCTTTGACAGCAAATGAGAGGACTGAGAGGGCGCTGTCATCATGGAGGTGGAATTGGCTACAGGGACGGGATGAGTATAACACGGATTTTGATGAATTTTTTTCGTACGTACTTTGCAACGTTTCTGTGCACAAAGATATCACCAGGCTTAGATGCTGTGATGATCGATTCCGGTACTCGTGAGTCAGAGCAGCCAATCCAAAGGATCTGAAATGAAATTAGAAAACGTGGCTAAAAACAGAGCGATGGGCATACCTTGGGATTCTGGCATGTGGCTGACCGAGCGAAAAAGTCGGGTGTGTCCTTTACTACGGTTTGTGCCCACTCCTCGTTGGCGTTGAGCAAGGTTTGGAGGGGTCTGTGGGACATATTGCGGAGGGGTGGGAAGCGTAGTGATGGTAAGACGAATAAGGATCGGAAAATGATTGGGCCACGGATGTAGGTGGCCCTAAGCATTGTCTTATAGCACGGTGAGTGTCACTGGTGAGTACAGATCAGCTCAAGTACGAATGGTAGCATGGATGATGGAATGTGACCCGAGTCTCGCGCGATCGAGTGGGAGCTCATGTGAGCGTCGTTGTAATCGCTAGCATAACGGTATATATCTATTTTAGTCACCTCTAACCACTTTGTTCTTCCTTGTTGAAATAAGTATTTGGCGACTTTCAGCAGCATTTAATTATTAGAATACTTCTATATAAAAGTCTGAGTATCTCCCACCTCGTCACAACTTAGAAATGCTTTTCAAACTACAGACCAATTATATCGATAGATTAGTAGCAAGGTCACGGAGTTTGAAAGGCCAAATCCGACTCGGACATGCATTAGACTTTTCCTAGCAGTGCTACGGAACCACATCAGTACAACCATCTTACCTTTTGTTAAAAGAGCGAGGTCACCGCTAGGTGAGACACTAGCGCTTAGCCCCTACTAACAGCAAGCTTTATTTGATAATGATGCATCCATGCAGGTATGTAACGCCGATTGGTTTGCGCTCAGACTCCATGGGAGTATGATTTGAAATCCCCGAACGAAGATCTTTCATGATTAGCTCTCACACCAAGAAATCAGTATAAGCTTGCAATGCCTCGTGCCTTGGAATGACTGCGCAAGTTGGTTATCGGATCATGCATGTGGCCCCTCAAACGCCTCGTACTCGTCAGATGGGCCTCCGGATCACGCGCTCAAACACCACTGTGTGACTAATTACGTCGGTTCGAAACCTGACGTACATATTCGCACTAGTCCTCAGCTGCAGCTGGCCAGACGACTATTCTCTGGAGGTTTTCAGTTGTCCTTATAGGTCTAGGTCTGTACTATGATGATATCTTTCGTCAATTGTTCCCTGTTGCTTGTGTCACAGATACAAATGATATGCAACCTGGGGTTATCCGCCAAGGCTATCTGCTGATTAGGGCGGAGCCAAACTTTGCTTTGTATACCCACTCTACACGAATTCATTGTTAACATTGACATATCGACACCCTGCTGACTTTCTCCACTGCCAATGATGTGATTCAATATGTTGCTCGTCAACTTTCCGTCAGCTTTATATTCTTTCATGTCCCTTGTCAATCCATGCTCAAATACGCAATCTCCGCGAACTATGCACTTCAAAGATTGGATATAACCCGTAAGGCTGCTTAGGCCCATCGGAGCGTTTTCGTAGTGCGTTTGCTTCGCGACGTCCTGTCTTCTAAATTATTGGCCCCTTGCGCCGAACATAGCAAATTACCTGAGACACAGGTAATTAACAGCTAGGTATTTGATATGTCAAGCGAGATCAATCCCTACCGGCCATCTAGCCTCTATCATTAAGACACGCTCAATGGCGTGGATCGGACTCGTGCACCACGGATATGAAGCTCACGACCGTGTGCAGATCTGCGTTTACTATATCTCATACGAACTTTCGGTGTAAGTGCCGATGGCAACTAAATGTACTTGCGTGATCGGATCGACTCTGGATACCATGCCCGGCAGCCTGGGTGGAAGTGGGTAGGCGACCGCAAACATCCGTTTGAAACTCAAACAAGTTCATGCACTCCCGCCATTCGTAGGCAGTAGTAAGAGGACCACGAGGCAACGGTTATCCTGACCTCATTACAAGTATACATTCGAAGATGCTACTTGGGCATTTTTGGAACCACCGCATGAGTGAAGCGTGTATGCGCGTTATATGCATCCGCCAAGAATGAATAGATAGTTTTCGTGCTAGCGGCATTGACAACTAGGCTTCTACGGGCCGTTCCTCTCTGGTAAGGATTGTCTTGTGCGCAGTATATTTATCCTAATGTTCCAAAGGCGATTACAATAATAGAGAAGGACGTCATTATAGCGTCGGCAATACACACAGATTGCCACCACTACCTGAGACCTTCATGATACAAATTCATTTTCTATGCCAAACACAATTGAAGAAGACTGGGACGTAAAGATCCGACCCGACGTTTGCGAATTCGCCTATGCGTGGAATAGGAGATGGGCGTAATACAATTGCAAGATAGAATAGGCATCAGCTGTCCAAGATATACGGCAGTGATGGTCATGAGGTGGATATCGCCAGGAGGTCATGAGGAACATTATCAGTTTATCAACTGGATAAGAAGCCTATGTAAAAGATGCATGATCGTGATTGATGGATGAATCAGATGCTTTTAATGCTTAGGCCTATTAGGCTCGATCGTATTCGGTCGAGGCTCGGTCGTAGCCGACACCATTCAACGGGAAATGCCGATATGGGTGTAGGGGCCATTGTCAAATTATTATGTAGACGAGCGCGTGCTTGAACCCCTTCATCGCCTCCCCCTACTATCTTCCATATCCCTAGTTTACATCAAACACGCCCAACCTGTTTTAACCCCCATCTGTTACCGGTCAAGCATCTCTCAGACCATCGACTTCTGCAACCAGTCAATTAGCTAACTGTTAACCATCGATTTCGCGTCAAGTCATTTCAGGCACGTTTGCAAGCAGGCAGATGGTTTCGTCAGCGCCTGCACCATTGATTAAACCTCCAGTTTCTTACGCTGAAAGTGTAAAAAAGACTCCTCGCTCTCCAAACGCTGTTCGGAACCCTCTTGGAGACTTCCCAACCGTCTCTGGCGCGTCTGGGGTATCTTCATCTTCAAGTTCTTCACCACCTTCGAACGCCACATCCCAATCACCCAAATTGCTCAGTTCGGTCGAAGCGACAAGCGGATCTCAGGCCGGTGTTTCTGATTTTCCAGAGCTCCCTACCGAGATATCTTCGCAGCATACCGTTAAGGACCACAACGGACCAACGAACCATGTGCATTCGAATGCCACCAACGTGACAAAGGCGGCGCCTACTGTGAATGTATGGACCGAACGTTTGAAAGAGCAGATGGCCCATGCACATCTGCATGTCCACCAACCTCAGAGGCAACCTCGCACAATAGTCACATCTTCTGTCGGAGCGCCTTTAGTCCCTCCCAGGCTAAGGCCCATTGTCATGGGTACTTCCCCGCATCCAGTTGATGTCCCCAACTCTGTATCATCGACTTCCACATCTCGTTCGAGTCCATCGCAGACGATTTCTCTCGATGGAGATGATGATGACCATGATCCTTTTATCGTGCGCATGCCTTCACACCTTTCTCGACACTCCTCCTCCAAGTCTATCCATCTAGTTAATGACACTGATGTTTCTAATTGGCAAGAGGCCGCAAAATCTCCATCTGTGGACCTTGGAGGAAATGATGGTGGCGACAAGTCCCGAAGATCGGAAAATCACGCGGGTGCACATAATTCCTCCAATTCAGCTGATCTATCCAGAAAGAGTACGTTATTTACCTTGTCGACTCCCTGCCCTTCGCCTTTCTTAAGCATCCTACTTTTACGATTCTTTACAATGGATATTCAGACCGTACTGACTGGATGATGGTGCTCGTCACATTTATGTTCGGCAGATAGCATTGATTCTACCCGACATCAAAGTGATTCAAGACCACCATCAGCTCAAATGTCTCGGCTGAACAGCAGAAACGTATTTGAGGGGAACTCTACAGGTTCGCACTCGGTGCCCTACTCCAGAGTGGAAAGTCGAGCTGGGAGTTCGTCTTCGAGTCCTCGGCTATCAATCCGAGGAAAGCGGCTACCGGATGACGATTTCACTGTAGTGTACGACCTTCGTCACGAGGCTCCAAAGGTTCCCTACAATCCACCGCGCATGAGTTCAAGGGTCCCAGAAAGAACTGCATACCACCATCACACTTTTTCTCACCCTCCCGACATTGCATCGCATTATTTCAGACCTCCGCCCATACCACCCACTATTGACGCACCACTGCATTCTGCACGGCTATCGCCGCTACTTTCGGGCATTCGACATCCGTACTACGCAAATCCCGTTTCAGGACACACCTCTCCTACGTACGCGGGCTCGCGCCCTCCCTCTGGAGCTGGTACTCCACCATACCCAGTATATCCTCCATACACAGCGACATGTGGATACTGTCATTCGCGCATTCCGTGGGACGGGTTCGTTCCTCCAATCCACCCTCGCCCTGTTCCGGGCTTTTCGACTCCGTTACTGCAGGACGAGTACATTGTGCCTCCACTGATGCATCTGTCATTCTTCAATCCACCCTTTCCGGGCACAACGGAGCCATTACCAAAAACCCGTTTAGCGCAGAGCGAGCGTTCGTGTGAGAGCTCACATGGCTCACATTTGCCTCCTGTTATTATTTCACGAAATATGGTCTTTGGGAGTATCGACGCGACTCATGATCATGTCCATCAGACGCCGGACGAAAAGGAGGCTGCGAGGAAGGAGGGCGAGAAATCCATTGGACGAATGGCGGAACACTTCTCTGGCTTTTACATCGGCATTACACCTGGCGAACCGGTGCCACCCCGTCAAGGAAATAAAAAACATCCGAATAAGAGCCTTTCGAAGCCTCCTGCGAGTCCCGTAGCGGAAGCTACAGATAATGCGAAGGCCATCGATGATGCACCCCAGGAAGGGTGTAAGACGGCTGACGAGCAACCGAATACTGCTGTTGAGGAAGATGTTCCAGCACCTAGTAAGAAGTGGGTGTTTGGAACGACAGCGTTTGACAGGTTGAACGGGGCTAGTCCACTGGAGGATTCACAGAACACGTCATCTGAGCACCTACCTCCACCTGCTGAACCTGCGCAACCAGTCGCTCCTCTACCTGACCAGCATCCGCCTGCTGCGACATCCGTGGCGCAGCCATCCAAGAATGAGAAACCTGTCACGCCGCCGAGTAGTAAAAGACAGAATGGATCTTCGATGATGAAATCTAAGGATGATTCCGCGTTGAGCGACGTCTGGGAGGTAAAGGACTACGGATATGGATTCGGCGACGTGAGTGGCACAGATAATGCCACTGATGTCATTCGCCGCGCCAAAGAAGTTCGGGAGAGGCAACGACAACTCGAGTGGCAGAGAGAGCAGGCACAAATACAGCTGCAGAAGGAACAGGAGCTACAGCTTGAAGTACAAGATATCCATACTCAACACACGTGGCAGGAGGCATATGAAGGGCGGGAACTGTGGGACCAAGTCAAAGAGTTTGGACGTGGGCGACCCCGTCGAGGTTCTTGGGCTGGTTCGTATGGGCCGCACGAACGGGGCGCTTATGGGGGTCGAAGAGCTCGAGGATTTGGTGGTCGCTACCAAGGGCGACATGCTGGCCGTGGGGGCTACCACCACCAGCAACGGTCCTCCATATCTTCTGTCACGCCGCCTCCACAGTTCAATCCTTTACCGCTGCCTATGAACGGTTACGTCCAGATTCCATCTTATACACCTCCCGATTACGAATTGTACCATCCCGTTCCCGTTCCAGTGACCATACCTGTAAACGGCGCGCCTCCCATCCCTTTGCAACAGTCGGCATTGCCGCTCCCTCCGGATCCAACACGGTCGCGTCTTCTTAACCAGTTAGAGTATTATCTGAGCGCTGAGAACATGGCACAGGACTTCTTTCTTCGACAGCGGGTGAGTTCAATAATCGATGGGAATCTCATATTTCTGACAATTACTGCCATGTTACGCAGATGGATGACCAGGGATGGATACCCATTTCACTGATAGCTTCGTTCAATAGAGTGAAAAAGCTTACCACAGAGGTCGATCTCGTACACGATGTACTCAGCCTGTCCAGCTTGACTGAGGTCAAGGGTGAATATGTTCGAATGGCCAGGGAGCAGTGGAAGCAGTTCGTCTTGCCTAATGCTCCAAGGAGCATCGTGTGCCATCCGATTGGGTCCGAGGGAATAGAGCCTCAGGACGATCAGGTCGCTTATGCCCAGGTTCAGGATGGTGAGATAGAAGAAGAAGGTGATACGTTTGGGGAGGATGACGACGACGAAGACATCGTCTTTGTCATTGGCGAAGAAGCAGAAGGCTCATGGGCGCCAGAACGACGACCAGCAGCATCGGAAAGCACTTGATCGCTGGTATTGCGTTCAGTGACAGTTTGAAAAAGCATTCTCGAACGAAGTTGATGACCTTACCCGTGTGCACACTTCAGTGTGTTCATGGACAGGTGATCCTATTGATTTTACCTCTTTGTTATGTTCTTTATGTGGTTAGTTTGTGTCCTCGTATTCTCCATCGCTAACAATTTGCTTCATATGCATGCTTACACAGTAGTAATGTTTTTTTCATGGCAGTATCATCCTCGCATATCATATTATCGTTCAATCGTCCCTCACATTTCCCTAGCTGGCTTTCATACAATGTTGTTCGTTTTCCTGCAGTTATCGTTCTAGTACACGAGCTATCCCGTCTATAAACAAGTGATCATTGGGCTCTCTGGATAGGGCAGAAATTGCATAACTCATCCCTCGTTCTCTCGTTGACTCAACGGACGCTGTCCCGTTTATGCAAAGAGCATTAATCATCAGGAACATCACTCCGGCAACTCTCGGTTCGTGTCGCTAATTATAAACCGCTGAGGTCATGCAGAGTCTGGGGTCCTCGTGTTCTTGTTGGCCGCTGCGGCTGCGCCCCACACGTAAATATAAGCCCCAAGCTTCTTGCCAACTGCATCAACATAACTTCCTACTTGCGCGCCACTATGGTCAAAGCTTCTGACGTCCTTTTGATTCTTGTTCGTACAATATTTGCTTAACATACACAAGGAATTGAATCACTGAACAGGTTGCTATCCTCTTTCCGCCGGCTGCTGCTGCTTTTGTCACCGGCTGTAGCTGTGACTTGCTCATCAACATATGTTTGACCATGTGAGCTTCCCATGGTCAATGCAGTAACCATGACAGAGGCTGATCACGAGCATAGCTTGGGATATATCCCCGGACATATTGTGCGCCGGTTACCCGTCTCCTTGAAGAGACAGACTCTGACTCCTTATCATAGCATGCCTTTTGGCTCATCTACAAGAAGATGCAAGCTGAAGAGAAATATGGTTACGGGGGGTTCCATTGTACGTATATTGTTTGCCATCCTGTGCACTGCGGCTGAGACTATGATGTAACAGACACCGGCAACGGGCATTACCAGGCTCTCAATCAAGGTTCTGCTCCTGTGAACTATGGAACGGGAGGACCTTAGGTGATTTGTCGCTCAGATGATATCCTGCACATTTGGACTGTAATATGCCACTCCAGTTGTAGAACTTTGTAACTAGGCTTTTGTTCATTATTGCCCATACCTTATGAGCTTTGTTGCTATCATCATTCTTTCAAAGTCTTGAAGACTCATGGATTTATCTGGTGAAGTGGAGAACACTTCCAGCATTGCAATAATCTGAAGGGTGATTCTGTCGACAAGGGACGCCGATAGAGAATTCGAGTGCTTACTTCCTCAGCCTTTATCTTCTCCTTAAGCAGATTAGCAACGCGCGTAACGTCCTTGATCATGATTTTCTGACGGTCCAGCTCAGCATCAGGCACATCAGGGAAGAACCTTGCGAAGTCCTCCCGACATTCAGCCTTTTGTTTCGCGCTCAATTGACCAGCATCAAGCTCCGCGTCGGCGGGCAACGACTTGGATGCCTTTTGGGGTTTGCGCGATCTAGAAACAGCGGCAGGCTTATCATCTTGATATTCCTCATCAGATGCTTCTGGTTCACTCATGTCCCCATCGACGGACATGCGGTATTCATCACTTTCCGGGCCACTATCTTCCTCCTGGTCACTGCGTGCTGCTGTTTCGGAATGAGCAGCAGAAGGCCCGGGATCGTCACTCCCTTCCTCGTCTTCTCCTTCTAGAAGGGCAGCACACACCGATCGCCAGTCCTTCCGGCTGACTTCGCTCGATCCCTCCAAGTTTTCTCCCCAACCTGACGTAGCATTTCGAAACACAGAAAGAACTTCTTCGTCATCTGGAGGAAGTCCAAGAAGTTGAAGTGCAGCTGGGATAGATGAAAGTGATATGGAGATAGGGTCCGGAGATGGGGACCGAGTGCGGCCTTCGTATTCATCAAGTAGAAAACCTCCAGCGTCCTCTATCAAAAATCCTCCTGGTGATACATCTTCTACAGCGGCGAATCCACTGGACTGAGCTGAGTCAAGCTTACGCTTCTTTCGAGGCGGGTTTGACGATCCTGAAGTGTTTCGAGTAGCTCTGTCGAATGCATCATCTATGCGTCGACGCAGACCAGCAGATAAAGCAACGAAGGTATCATCCATGGTTTCTTCAGGTATGGAGGAAATAGAAGCAATTGTGTCACGTGGACATCGACGCGTTCCTGAGTTGTAAATAGCGTGGCTGTCTTCCTTCGAACTAGGTTAGTTATAGTACCACCTACTACCGGATCCTAGGAGCTGCAAATTCAGGAATTTACCCCAGCTTGGCACGGGTATCTCCACAACATTTGAAGGCTCCCTGGGACCTAGTATCGCGCCTTGGCAAAACAGACAGTCACATCCAAAATAGTCATCTGATACATGTGAAACTTGATTACAATCTTGACATGGTATATAAACCTCTCGGGCGGACACCATGCTATCAGTCCCACTTCCCTAACTCTGAGCCATGATGCCCCAACTAGAAGAACACTTGGGTAAATTTGATGTCGAGGTCGCAGAAAAATTCGACCCCGCCTCTTACTACGAGCAGGCTGCCGGTCGTTTGGTGATTGATCCTCAGTATGTGACTCAATCGCAGTCTTAGTTTCTAGCAGTGAGTTAAGGACTAACGTCACACCTTCCTTTAAATCTAGGTTGGCTAAGATCGAGTTTGGCGAGGCATTGGCTTCAATGCTTAAACTGAGCCCCGACGGCTCTACGATTCTCTGGCCACAACCTGCCGACGATCCGAATGACCCACAGAATGTGAGAATATGGTTGGCATCTTGCTCTGAGGTGACCTAACTCTTGAGATAGTGGAGTGATCGGCGTAAAGCACTGCACCTTCTTGTTATTACTCTGGCAGCCAGCATACCAGACTTTGATTCGGGAATTGGTGCGTTCACGTTACGATGCTTGTTGTAGTATCTGATGACATCGCTAGGGATTGCTTCAATCTTTGGATTGGCACAGACATATCACACAACCACAGGCGTTATCAATAACCTCACGTCCAAGTGCGTAGCCTCACATTCTTTAGCGAAGGGAAATATTAATAATAGCCAATAGTTGGAGCATTTTCCTGATAGGTTAATTTGGCTGTTCGAGAGATGAAATCTCACAGGTTGACTGATTCTTCCCATAAGGGTGGGGTGGGATCTTTTGGGTCATGCTCATGCGACGTTACGGTCGCCTTCCTGTGCTATTTTGGACACAGGCACGTATCTTTTGAGACAATTTTGTAGTGCTGGAATCCTTAAGTCTGTGCTTAGATTTTTGCCCTTGCCTTCCTCGTTGGCGCTACATTTTCGCCGGACCTGGCAACCTTCACAGGTAAAATTTCATGTGCAGTGAACAAATTCGATGCCGACATTTTTCATTTGAAAGCAATGCGCTGTTTGACAGCATTTTTTGGGTATGCTCCTATCTAAGTTTCTCAATTAGCGACGATGATAGTTACGGATAAGTAGGACATGTCCTCAGGTCACGGTACGCCCTACATGCCCTCATCCATGATATCGTCGTCTGAACTTGATTTAAGGGCCTGTATGTTATCACTGACATATTCCCATTCCATCTACAAGCTCGAAAATTGAATATTTGGACATTTGGATTCATCATGCATGTTATCAACGAGTTCATCGGCATTTAACTGCACTCATGACTTGTACAGATCCCCATTCTTATCGCCATTTGTTTTTGGCTTTCTTGTAGCACGTACGAGGCAAGTCTACCCTCCCCTTCGGGATAAACAGCTACTGATGCGCGTGCAGCTGGCGATGGGCCTATGGGATTGGATCGCTCTACAGCGCCGTCATTGTACTCCTGATCGGTCTGTTTGTGGAAGAAACGTAAGTTTATGTTTCATAACACATCTTGTATAATGCTACCCCATGATTAGGATGTATGACCGCCATCTGGATCCCAACCCGCAACGAATATTGCCAGGCATACAATATAGACTCGAGACCCTGATTGGCATCACGGGGTACAAGATGGCCAAGTATCGGTCACGCTGGTCAGAGGTTGTATGGGCATGTTTGAACGTTGTATGGAGACCTCAGTTTATCTTGGTTGTATGTTTTGAAGTGAGTTTGCAAATAAAGCAATTGGCAATGTCTCAACCTTAATGGTATTCACTCAAGGCCTTTGTTTTTGGATTCTCAGTTGGCGTCAATGTGAGCTGCTGTTTGTCACTTACGCAACCTTTGATAATTAAGGACGCTAGGTGACGAATGTCGTTTTTATGGGCTCCCCTCCTCCAGTCGGTTTTGGATTCAGCCAATTTGGGGTTGCTGGTGCCTATGCGACTCCGATCGTGAGCCTCACTGTTATCAGCAGACGCTAGTGTGCTCATGTCGTACTAGCTAGCGGTGATTCTAGGAGAGTTGGGCGGGCGATTTCTCAACGAACGAATTATGAACTTCACTGTCCGGAAGAATAAAGGTGTATTTGAAGCCGAGAGTCGATTATGGTGGGTGCAGAATGTTGATTGTCACATAGCAGCTACTGATAGGACATGCATGCTGCAGGGCATGTTATGCAGCAATGCCACTGTTCATCTGTGGCTTCTTGACACTGGGAGCTGGTATTCAGCATTTGAATAAAGCTGCATTTATCTTAGGGTGGGGGATAGCGGAAATAGCAGTTATGGTGAATACAGTTGCCGTCTGTGAGCCTCACTATCAATTGCGATTATTGGTTTAGTTGTTAATTCGTTTTAGACGCATATTGCAATGATTGTTTCCCGCGGCATCAGGGAGAAATTAGTGCTCTGCTCAACCTGGCGCGCGTGCTCGGTGGTAGGCATTTGCAATACTTCTCTACTTTTGACCACACATCATGACTATTCACAGGCTTCAGCGTAGCATACTTCCAAGTCCCATGGGCAACAAAATCTGGTGGAATTCAGACATTTGGTGTTGAAGCAGCGTATGTACACGCCAGAGCAGCTCAGAACAGATTCTAACCAGTTCTAACCACATGACAGGATTGTCGTGGGATTGTTTTTAATTGCTGTGCCAACGTTGCAACTGAGAGGTAGATATTTCCGAGTGCGTGACAATAATATTATTATCTGATGTTGTCCTCTAACATCCCGCTGGCATTTTAGAAGCACTTCGCCTTGTAATGCGATGTTGCTAATTTCATGAGGCAAGTGCAAGGATTGTATTCTGCCAAGACGTTTGCACCAGTCGCATTAGGTTTCTTACCGCTTGGAAGCATTAGAAACCTTAAGACTATAAGAAACAATTACACGGAATCTCCGCCAGACCTAATAAACACAATTCTCCATAATAAAGGAAGAGCATGTCGGACAACACAAGGAGCGAATTAAACTATGCTGGGAAATAAACACTGAATTGCGAGGTCACAAAATAGTCTAAGTTCCAAAAAATCAGTCCTATCACAGCGGGTACTCCAATTATGTGTGTGAAAGGTCCCGTATGAAGTTGTAGCATCATCGTTCAAAAAAAGGATAGTAGTGTTCATACCGCGAACGCAGCGAAACACAGAACACAAGTGATGAATACGCTGTATTGCACGCTTGCGCCCAAAGCGGCTCCAGATGCGGTGGTGCTTGGACTGGTCGTGCTGTGTGAGCCGGAGGTATTGCCACTCGACCCGCTGGAGCTCGAAGAGGATGATGACGATGGTGGGGCAGCTGCCGCGAGGTTGCTCACAGTAGCCCATGTTGCAGCGATGTTCGTACTCGTGTTACCCTCAAGGTAAGGGAGGTAAGACACGGTGCCATTGCTTGTGAGCTGCACGAGAGCTGTGACACCGGCAAAGTATGTTGCTTTGGAGTCTTTGGTGGCGGGCGCTGCTAGGGCCTGAGTGGTGTTTGTCTGAAGATTGATTAGTAGTGAGAATGAGTGAGTCAAAATGAGGGACCATACCTCAACATTGACAACGTAAGTGGCAGAGGAATCTGCGGGAATGAAGGCGAACTCTTGCTGAACCTATCAACTACATGAGAATGGATCTCAAGTAGAAAAGTATAGGACTTACTGTGTTGTCCGCCTGGAAGAATGAGGCAACTTGGCCGTAAGTGGTAGGGAATGCGCTCCCATCTGGGAGCGGGTAGGCTTGAGACTGCGGTTGGAAGTAGGAGTCTGGTGCCACTGTTAGTGTCTCTCCCTATGACGATAAGAGTATGATACGCACAATGAATGACGAAAATGTCTGCGCTCCCAGCAGGGACGTTGGGGACGTCTAGGAAGTGAATGTGATTTTGTGCAAGAGCCATGACTGGAACGTAATCCGAGGGGTACGGCACTTGTTCATCGTTAGTCCAGCTTAATGGTGTACTATTGGCCGCATTAAGTGAACCCATGTCTAGGGAGAAGAGGTTTCCCTGTGACAATGCATCTGTGGTGGCATGTCAACAAGACACGTTGCATAGTAACGGCACAAACTTACAGAAGACGTTCGTGTCATGGTCCAGAATAGCATCAAAAGACGTGTAGTCGAAAGAACCAGCATTGACCGCTTGCATGGACCATGATTTTGCAGCCGCATTGTAGATGTAAAGAGAGGAAGGATTCTTGGAATCGGCATTAATGGCGTAGATCGCGTTGGCATACTATCAATGGGAAATTAGCCCGCCTTCAAAAGCTATAATTGTGCATGCTCAGACTTGCCTGCGAGAGGTAGCATGTAGTGTTAGCTGCATCAAATGGCCTGTGGAGGAAAAATGTAAGCGTGATGTATGGATGCCGAAAATTACTGACGGTCGGTTGGATGTTGTGATGTCTGTGGCTGCAGTGCCTGCATAAACAGAATGTTAGGCCTCTAGTTCTCATAATGACAAGAAACTGACTGCTGGACCAGGTGTCTTGGGTGCCCGCGTTCCAGTCTTTGCCGTTGAGGTTGAAAGCAAGGAGGTTCCAATTGGCATCAAAAGCGACGCATGGAGAAGCTCGGACTGTTGCCGAAGATATGAAAAAAAGAGAGACGAGGGTCGGTAAGAACATAGTCAAGTATGATGACGGAAGAGAAGTTGAAGAGATGAGTTTGAAGAGTTCGGGTGCTGGGACTTACTCCTACCTCAGTACGTAATATCATTAGGTAAGTCAATTTACTGCATACACCAAAACATAACATTGTAGACGCCCGCAGGTACGTACATACAACTTAAAGGAAGCAGTAGCATATATGTCTAACTCTAAACGATTCTTCTGGTTCTGAAATCGAGAAGCTGTCAAGTGCCAATTATAAGGCAAAACGTGCCTAATATTTGATGTACAGATTCAGTGCTGTAACACAAATCAAAAGAACCGCACTTACTCGGAAGTAGCTTCCCTTCAGTTGTGTCATAGGAACGGCGATGAAAAACATGCCAATCACAAGCCTATAAAAATCGTCAGACTCTTCGAGTGCGTCAAGCGATATCACTTGCGCTGTTTCAACACCAAATACCATCAATGCTCCAGATTTTGTAGCCCATGGGACTTGGAAATATGCGACTGCGAAACCTAGGCCACGTTGGACAAAGACAAATCATGTGTTGCTGTAACTCACCGCCCACTGATCTTGCAAAGTTTAAGAGGGCACTGACTTCGCCCTAGAGTGGAAGGATGTGTCACTGAAATGCAAATAAGTATATATGCGTCACTCACTGCCCTGCGAGGGAAGCAGTCATTACAATATGCGTCTAATAATATTCCTTGAGTTTTCCCACGAACTCAAAGTATTGGATCCGAGACTTACACACTGCAACAGTGTTGAGGGTGATTGCAACAAATGCAATGCCCCAGCCTATGATGAGAGCGGCTTCGTTGAGATTTTGTATCCCAGCACCCAGCGTCAAAAAGCCACAGATATAAAGCGGCATGGCTAAGTAACAGGTCCTACACAAATTCTCAGCTCTAACCTTGGACCATCGTTGAGTTTGCATACCACAAGCGGCTCTCGGCCTCGAAGAAACCACCGTTTTTGCGAATATGCAGGTCCATAATGAATTCATTGACGTATCGTCCAATGAACTCGCCAAGAAGGACGGCGACCTAAAAATTCCATGCTGAGAACAGTAATCATGCATACTTGATGAATGGAAAAAAACTTGCAATTGGAGTCGCATACGCCCCAGCCACGGCATATTGGCTGAAGCCAAATCCGACGGGAGGAGAAGATCCCATGAAGACAACATTTGTCGTCTACAAAAGTCGATGAATTTATTACTGCAGGTCGAAACGGAAACGCCCACGTTCACACCGATCGAGAACCCGAAAACCAATGCCTTTCAAAAAGGTCAGTAAATGTACTAAGTATGGTCAGCAATGGAATTTATCTCACCTCAAAGAAAACTACAAAGAAAAACTGAGGACGCCAAGCGACATCCAAAGATGCCACTAGAACTTCCGGCCATCGCGGTCTGTATTTTGCCATCTTGTGCCCAGTGACACCTATCAAAGTTTCAAATCGATATCGCAGTCCCGTAGAAATTTGCAGTGGCTTCAATGCAAGGTGACGATCATACATACTGGTTCAGCAAAAGTCAACGCCACTATCTTAAGAAGAAACAGTATGTCAGAACGTACGTTTCTTCCATAAAAAAAGCAATGAGAAATAATACGATGGCGCTGTAAATAGATCCTATAGCATAGGCCCATCTCCAGCTATCCAACAGTTGATGAGTATTCTGAATCAAGGACAGTATATGTAAGACGTACCTCGCACGCGCTACAAGAAAGCCAAATACAAACGGTGATAAGAAAGGCGATCTATGAGATAGTGAGAAATGTTTCTCCCAATGAAAGGATTCATTCTCTGACATAACAAAACCTGAGGTCCAGATGTTCAGCTTCCGTGCTTGAAGATGGAAGGGGAAGATATCCGTCACGACGTAAAGACCCTTGGAAGTTGGTGAATGACAAAGCTATCACGAGAATTGCCACTAATCATACTGTCACCTGGGGACACGTTCTAAGACCGTAGTCAGTTTAACGCAGTCATGAAAAAAATGACGACCTGCCCAAAGAATGCAGTCAGGCAACGCATCCCTTCATCAAAAGTTAACACTGTCCAATCAATACCAAATTAATGTGTAAATACCTGCAAAGGTGGCTAGATTCGGCGCTAATGTGGCACCAACCAAGAATGCAAACGCAAAAAGCTGCGCTCAAGGTTTCAGGGTCCATATCGGCCAAATCACTGGGAATATATACCTGACTCCAGAAGAGTACTGGCAACCGACCATACCGTCTCATGAGCATAACCCAGAAGATGCCTCCCCAACCTGGACTACAGATGAGAAGAGGCTATTCTTATGTAATGGTGTGATCTCACCCAGAAGGAAGATGCTCCAGCTTCAGGGAAATGTCAATGAATGTGAGCAACGATTAATGCATCACGGACTTTGACGTCAGATCGTTGATGACACCCGAGGTCGTGTCATAAGTTTGAGCGAGGCTAAATATCGACGCGATTCCTGTCAATAAAAGTATTTCACAATGACACTACTATGGATATTGAGCGAGGGCGAAATACATACCAATTCCAGAGTCGAAGTCAGGTACCACTGCAGACATTGTAATGATGATCAAGTGCACAGTCTTGCGGAAATCGGTCCACTACGAATGAATAGCTCAGTTAAAGGGACATGATAGTGAGAAATGACGAGCATTTTGCGGGTCGTTCGGGTCGTCAGCGGGTTGAGGCCAGAGAACCTTCAACCCATCAGGGCTAAGCTTGAGCCTAGAGGCCATTACCTCCCCAAACTCGACCTTCGCCTGTCTAGTGAGTTACGAATGAGTTACGATGGACTCAGGATAAGTAGGAGCAACAACCACATACTCGGGGTCCACTACTAAACGGCTAGTAGCCTGCTCGTAATAATCGACAAAATCCACCTCATCGGTAACATCGACTTTGATTGAGTCATCTGCCTTCGTTTCTGACTGCTGCTGGGATCTAACATCCTCTAGAACCATTGGTAGTGGAGGTGAGAGTTGGGAAGCGAATATCGTCACTCGGTACCCATTATTATTAATTTAAAGCGCGGTACCTACGATGACAACGTATCTCTTTTAATCTCGAGGGAGCGCAGATTGTGAGGCCTTGAGGAATGGCTAGCCTGTTAAGGTGTGTTCAAGCGAAAGGTATCCTGATATTACTCGGTTCCAGCAATCCGAGCAAACAGGTATGGACAACAGATCTTCCTTCATGATACACCGCCCGGATCACGCATCCGTGAACCGCTCGTCATATCTACATCGTAACGGTGCTCACGCGCCAAGCCCCCGACTCCTCTTTCGCACGGACACATTGATGATTGCACACTGTCACAATCTAATATCATTGATACTATACGCTCCAAGTCTCTCTTTTACACTCCTCAAATCTCTCTTTCAAAGTTAATACCAGAAGGTGGAGTCCCTCACACACCTTCCGCACTGTCAGTCAAGGTGTCGCGGGTGTTCGGGGTCACTCACTGCTTAATAATCCCGATCCAAGGGATGTTGTCTTCCTCACAATCCATCAATTCATTCTTCATATGCCGTGTATGTTTCACCACCAGCACATTTCCCAAGATGTTGTCCGCATTCGATGTGATACGTCCAACCTCCCGAATCAGTGCATTGGGTGGCCCATAAACCAACGGATGCTCGCGAAAAAATGTGTACCCAGGCAGCGTTCCGCCCTCTGGGATGTCTGCGATCACATTGTATGTCTTTCGGCACTGCCCTGTCGAGCTGATCAGGCGCTCTGGTCCAAGCTGATCGACCCAGTGAGACACGTCCAGCTGGGACATGTCGACCAGACTATCCACACCGTCTCGCAGTGGTATAGACACCAGATGGGCCTTTTTTGCACTTGTGGCATACAAAACACCTTGCAATATCCCTTGGTAATCCTGCGCGCATTGACCATCAGCCCGCTCAAGCTCCGCCCCCCATTCAGTCATTCACTCACAGGCCAGTGTTGCGCAATCCGCGCCTCCTGCACCTCTATCTCTGTGATGCCCGATGGAGTGCGATGCGGCATCAGCTGCCTCGACCGAGGGTTGTTCTTTGGGTTGTAAGCACACAGATCATTCTCACAATGTACTATCAAGCACCACATCGTCTGCGAGCCATCCACCACCTTTTTGATGCTGAATCTCTCGTCCCACTCTAACATCAACATTTGCTCGCCATGGTCCAACACGCTGCGCCAGAGCGCCGGGCATGCTTTCCCACAATCCTCACCTAGGAAGTCCGTCGACCTCTCCACCCTGAAACCATCTTTCGCCATGCAGCCGACATTATCCTGCAGCCTTCCAGTGTTGTCCTCTCAGATGTGGCTGTTGATCACTGTGACTTTGCTCAACGTCCAAGCCGGATAAAACATCACCAAGCCACCAGGCGTCATCACTGTCATGTCCACCGTTGTGGGAGAGGACACCACGACCTTGAACAAGTTGTCTCCTTCTGCCTCCGAGATTGTAATGATCATCTCTCCTTTTCGAAATCTAGTGAAACCTTTCACCACCTTCGTGAAAGCATAGTTGGGGCGCGCGCACACTTCAAACCTTTCATACTGCAAATCCCCGACCAGGCTGGCATAGAGAATCTCTGCAGAACCCAGTGGAGTAATGAGATTGAGATCGTTCGGTGTTGCTCCTTGACCAGTGAGCATCTGTCTCGCACAAGAGCCTGTAATCAATGTCGACGTGACATGCAATAGATGGCGCATCTCCGCGAAGTGGGCACCGAAGAACGACTGGACAATGCTTTCGAACCATCGAGCTCCCAATGCTGACCCCAATTCGCGCATATCATACCCTGTTCCCAAGCATGTGAGGAGATCCGGCAAGCATTCCAAGTGCTGCCCCATTATTTGCACCAATGATTGCGTGCGTAGCACTACCATGCGATGTCACGAAGCACACTTGCACAAGAACGGCAACACTTACATTTCTCATTACCGTCTGGCATTGTTGGCGAACTATCCGTGCAGATGTCAGGTGTTGACAAGAGGTTGACAAGAGGTTGTGATAGGGCTCTCAATATCCTGGCTCGTGTTTTCACGAGATATCAGCCAGTCCTCCCCCAAATACATCTTTCCTGATTGGCCAGCTACTTGACATTATGTGAGACTTGCACTCCTCCTCATGCGCTGGTGGTTTCAGTATGTCCATGAGCCAAAATTCTGTCTGAGACACCAACATGATCGAGTGATCACACTTGCCAAACTCGACACTGAACCACAGAGCCTAGACCCGGCCTGTGCGAACCCCGCGCCTGGTGTTAAACTCCCAGGGTACCCAACCTTATTCGACGCAGTCGTTTCCACTTCATTGTGACCGACTACTAAACGGCCCCTGTGAGTTGGACATAATCTATCCAAGCCACGGGCATTCATGACCGCAATGTACCACACCATATAATTTTAAAGTGAGAATGCTTCCAGCACCCGATGGCGGAGTTAGGGCGTGACATGGGTGAGGGTTACCCGGGTACCCACCTGGGTGCCACCCACGGATGGAACGTGGGTCGGGATGATATGGGGTGGGTGGTACGGGTGGCTCACCCGCACGGGTATGGGTCGGAGGGCTTGCTAAAGTTGGGTATCCACGGGTGGTCTAGTACCCCAATGAGAGGTATGAACCGGTGCCAAGTGACAAATTAGTTTCAGATGAATATTGTACCCTCCCTACTTGCACTTATCCGATGTCAAAATCAAGCTCGCTGAGGTACTATAACCGTGGTATGAAGGTTCTGAACAGGTACTAAGCAGTGCTGTATGACCATAAACTATTTTCAGACGGATTTTAATTTTTAGTCCTTATCCGAGTCAGAGCCTGTCAACATGACGCCAACCGACATCTATTCGAGATGTTTAAATTCGATGTGTGCTGCCCTGGTGGCCTGGTCCCTCTCTCCGAGTCTCTTGTCATCAGTTAATTAAACCTCAATCCTCCATGTCGAGGAGCAGTTTCAACTCAGCTTCGAGCGCATCTTTGGCACCTAACTCGCCAGCAACAAATACACGCCGTTGCGCGGTCAATAAATGCCCATTCAACTCAGGAGCGGATCCTCTCTATATCGAAAGGGTAAAGCTCTTTCAAGGCACAGGTTGCCGTTGGATCTTGGTTCAATACACCCCTTATGCCCGATCTCAGCATCGCTACAAAAATCATGCAAAAGAAAATGGGAAAGGAGAAGGGAGAAGGGAAGGGAAAAGAGGATCCCTCACACCGCGACACAATTGATGTTGACTCTGATTGATTTTTTACATATATTTCATACATATGTTCTCATATGTACTACAGTACAGTTCTACATAACATATACTAGTTCACCCGCGGGTGACCCATACCACCTGCAGGTCCACCCATGGATCCACCCGCACCCGTGATACTCTTACCCGTACGGGTGCGGGTAGGCCTCTGAAGTTCCATCTACCCACGGATTGGGTACGGGTGCCACCTGGGTCCACCCATGTCACGCCCTAGGCGGAGTGAGTTCGTGGGACACGACCGGACCTGCTGATATAACTCTTTGTACAGAACAGAGCCATACAGCCTCATTCCGTTTCTTCAGAGTTTTGCAGGGTCTAGTGCAGGACCAGGACATGGATATGCGATGGCGGCTGGTGCAATCACAATGGCGGCAGGTGCAGCGTGTTCAGTCATCGACCGGTTTCTGAGTTAATGTTTCCAAAGTTAAATGAAGGTTGATCATTGTATCCTCCACGAACCGACAGTGGCGGAAAAGCTTCACCTGAAAGATAAACGACGAGTCACTGTACAGTGATTGACTAACCACATTTGATTCCAGACCCAGAATACCAGAGTTACACTTTAAAGAATACACATGCGACACATCAAACACCAACAAACATTATTTCTGGTAACACGTGCACTTTCAGCAAGCTGTTCACCCACTCGCGACCACCTTCTGTGCCTTCTTGGCCAGACCACCGTTGCCGGGGCCGGCATCGGCCTTTCACTTGCCCTTGCCGTTTGTTATGTCGCCCTGCACCTTGTCCCAATGGTGCCATCCCTGGCTCGTCCTTTGGCAGCAATTTCAAGGACTTCAAAGTTGTCTGATAGATCCTCGACCCTTTCTCCCGCTTCCCATCAGGGGCGAACATCCACCTGATGTAAATTCAGTCGCGGCTCACAGCGATGCTAACAAAAACTTACATTCGCATCACGATCTCAGCCACCACCGGCATCGCCGAAGTGAATATCTTACTGTAATCCGCAGGATGGATCAGGGCACCATTGGCGTCCCGAACATTAGGCACCACCACTGGCACATTTTCCAGATGGAAAAGATCCATCATGGTATGGTAGTGCCCATGAGGGTCAGGCAGGTCCTTTAACTTTCAGTCGTGCACACCTACTGATACATCAGTGTCTGTCGCAGATTTCCAGCCGACGTCATACCTCGTGTTCCTTCAGTTTCACACGCTTCAGCAACCCCTTTCTTACCCGAGAACTTCAGTTTGAGCACGTCTGTGCAGTTCCCCATCGGGGTCAATACACGCTGAACTGACATTAGTTCCTCTTACTGCCAGAAAAGACCAAGTCGGTGTCTGTGAGCAACGGCGACGTCAGTATTGATCATATCGCGCCTTAAGCGAATCCCACTTACTTTCGAAGTCCTCCAGGGAGAATTTGGGCACCACCTCCCTTCTCACCTCCCCTGCCTCTGGCAGCAAAGGCTCCAAGTGCAGCACGAAGTGAAGCAGATCTGCGCTCGAGTTCCCCACATTGCGGAGGAATTGGATAATGTCATGGTTGTCTGCATCAGAATGTCAGTTGATACATAGAGCACCAAAGTTCAATACTCACCCTTACCCCGAGCGGCCTCGCATTGGCTGACCAGAAGCATGAGGGTATTCACAGCTTTCTTGCTGCAAACCACGGCCTCAGTTGGATAGTCCTCATCTAGTGTTCGGAGCTGGAACTGCACTTTCACCGTCCTCACATCCCTAAGTTTAAGCTATTGTGACTGTGAATGCATGGACTGAAATTTTCAGGGATACAGCCACTGACCTGCTTCAAAGTGGGCAGCGAGAAATAAGGGTCCAACCGGGAGTGTTTCCCAGTGGGCTCAATCATAGCAGGAAACTGGATAGTGAAAGGGTTGCTGTGAGTATCATACCATTGCTCGCTGTGAATCTTGGGGTCCCAAAAGCGAGGATTGTTGCTGGCAGCGACAGCAGCCAATCGTCCAGTGCTTGCGGAGTTGGGTGCAGCAGAGGCCGCCAAGACGGTGTAGGATTTGGAGTCCTTGTAGCCTCGTAGAGGCTATTTTTGTGGTATCCCTCAGCACCCTATTACTTTCCTACATGAAGCGCAGCTTTCCTGCGAGTCGCGCATAGCGGCCGCTACTTTCCCGCGACAGCCGCAATGTTCCCACGCGCGCACACAGCCGCGCTTAGCGGCTGCTTTTCTCGCACTTCATTGGCCAACGTTCCGCACCCATCCATAGTCCAAAACCAACCCAATGTGGTACATTGTTTCATAATTATATTTACATATCAGACCATTTTCGCATCGGACCACCTTTATTACATATAGCTTTACATACATAGCTTGGTAGCGTGTTGGCTCAGTAGCGTGTTGGCTTGGTAGCGCGTCAGCTTGGTTCTGCATGACAGCGCTTAGCGCAATACTTAAGCACTAGCAGTACATATCATTCAGGAGATTGTTTTCCGGACATTCCAGTAGCAACTCCCATTAGCCTACAGTTGGTAGCTATTGGCAATCAGTATCCGTTTACCGCTCATATCGTATCAGTTATCACTTCGCTCTATATCTATCTCTATTGTCTACCATCTCTATTATCATCCAAACCCTTCGTGCATCGGCCGCTTCACAGCCGCGTTTCTTCCCACGCTTTCGGCTTTCGCCCTGCCGCTACATTCCCGCGCTATGTGCGCACACCCGTCGCTTTCCTGCGCTTCGCATCGGCCGACAAGCGGCACCTTCTGCGTCCATTTCTAGACCTTTGCTGCACTAGCTTCCCCTTTAGGGTCGAATGCACTTGTCCCACAAGTATAGCAGATAGGCAGTGCACGACTTACAACATAAAGATATCAGTTTGGAGCATATAGCACCACTCTGAGTTGTAAACCTACAACGGCCTCCACCTGGGCAGCTGAGAGAGGAGAACCCTCAGGCTGTGAAGTCGCATTCAAAACCATTTGGATGTAGACAAGACTGCGAGCTGGAAGTTCGAGTAAGCAGAGGCAGTTCAGAAGATAAAAGCAGGCACATGGGACTCATGAAACACCTTCTATTTATCAGACTGTCAGCAAGTCCCCCGGTTCGGAATCTGTACATGCATGAGGCATGTCCACACTGATCAAGTCTCAGACTCACCATATCTCATGCTAGCCTTGGCAACCGAGCAGATCGGACGTCCTTCACAATGGTACCCCGAGTCATAGACTCGATCGCTGTCTCCATGTATCGACCTCCTGGCTGTGCCTCGGTTTCATTCTGAGTTCGAAAGAGGTCTCAGATGGAGCCGCCGAGAATTTCTGTAGTCTGTAGTCCCTGCCCTGTTTCACCTCTCCTATGTGTCCGAATGATCTGCTGGCATCTGAACCAACATGTCGAACACTGCACCCTTGCTCCAAGTTGTTCCACATGCATAGCATCACACAGGTTCTCGGCACGCGCTTGTGATTAGTCAGACACCAACTGCAGTTGCCAATACGACTTGGATGTGTGCTCACAAAGTGTAATCCTTTCAATGTTAGTATGTAGCGCATCCTCATACAATCACACCAGGTATGCAATCATGATCCAAGTACCACATCCAGCATCTGCCTCAAGAACGTGTCAGTCTGTTACATTTGTTTCCCTTTTTCAGGCATCGTCTACAATTCTCTGTGGCCCATGACGTCTCCCGCCCCATGCGCTGCAGGTCGTGTGCATCAGATGCTCGCGTTATCTCGAAGTCCTACTTACCTGCAGATCAGGTAATTAACAATGGGTGCATCTTGCAGTGTGATAGGCATGAACCCTAGTGATTGTCCCTGCCGCTGTTTGACGACCAGCAGGTTCCCCATCATCCTCCTCCGAAATCCACACACCTCTGCCAATCTTTGCAGCAACAGGTTCAGGGGCCGCCTGTATTTCTGGATCCTCAAAGTACAATGTGTATTGCACATCCAGTTCCATACCCGTGTGAGGCACACATGCAAAAGTGTGCCTCAAACGCCTGTGAGAGAATGTCGACCTGTCTGGGTCCCATTGTTGGACCCACAGATTGACTTCCAACTCGTCCACCGCAGGTAGGCCCAGGACCCTGTCTCAGACAGGCACTTGTACCACATATGGTTGCCTGCATCCTCCCCCATAGAATTGACTGTCACAGAAACAAAAGTAACGCTGCAGTAACAATGAGGCATGCATGTGTGACAATGGATAGACTTATGGGCCAGCGAGAAACCAGTTCCTCAGACGTGAATTTCACAGACAAGTCTGATTCCTCAATGAGACTACTCGACAGCACCATGTTGTCACAGATGTACCATGATCACAGTCCATGCCCTCGTAATTGCCACGCATCTGGTCGATGCGATAGGGACACTCAGGATTCATGCAGTCCGTGTTCAGTCTCCATTCCACGTCCACATTCACCACACATCGCCTGACCAAGTCATCTGTGTACCAGTCTACGGCAAGTCGATAAGTGTTCTCTGTGGAGTGCTTTAAATGACTTGCACAGCAATTTTTCACATTTCTTTACTTCTTCTTTTTATCTCCTCACTTTTACTCTTGACTTACAATTGCGTTTGATGGCCGCAATTTCTCTTGATCGCAGGATTGTTAAAGAGGGGGCTTTTGCTCACAGTTTGCCGCATGGTACCCTCAGGCAAGACACCGCATCGAAGAGCCAGTTCTGTGTTTGCCCCTCTTGTAAGGGGAAGATGATTCTGCCCGAAGACTACTCAGTCTTCGACATCTTGAATGTTTTCAGGTGTTGTCTCTTCATCTCCCAATCAGATTTGGTCGGGCACACAGTTATGGCTACAAAGTCAGAGATGGGGCAGTTTACCTGGTTGACTCTTCGGCCAGTTTACCATTCCATGGTTGTAAAAACTGCCCTGTGTACACTTTTTGGGGACCATTACTATCCCCGCTTGGTCAATAAGATCAAGTCTGTTTTATTTGTATATCTTCTCGAAGTAGCGAATGAGGAGGCACCTGATGCCTTCTTTGCCCTTGAGAAAGGCAGCACGACTCACAACCGTGCCAATCGTGAAAAGAAAAGGCTTGCTCGTAAGCGCTCGAGAGCAGCTAAGAGAGAACGTACGCGCATTTTGGAGAAGGGTGGGCATGTGGCGGTCGCGCTTCGGCGTGATCCGACAGTGGACCCGTTGGCCTGCCCCTCCTGCGCGAAGACATTCAGATCTCGAAAGCAGCTTAAGAAACATACTTGCAAGAAGTCAGCTGAGGATCCACCCTCTGCTGCAAACATTGACTCAACAGAAGGACCTGCGGTAACTGTCCCGTCGCAGGATGTCAGTGTGGCTGTTGAAGCTGAGAGTTCCGGTTCTGTCCCGGTTCTCGCTATTCCTCAGGTTCCAGAGGGACCCGTTTGGCAGGAGGCTCTTGAGAGCCACACTGCACCACACTTCACTGTGTGGGCTCGGGAGAATGGAGTGCCCAGGGTATGTGAGGATTGTGAAGCCAATGCTGTGTCAGTCGTCTTGCATGGTAATTACAAGACGGCCTGCTACCTGAAGTGTTTCTTGCACGACAGGGGCTGCGGTTCGCGCTGGGGTTCCAATTATGATTGGTAGATTCAGTCCCTGCCTTCGCTTTGGCAAGCAGGTTGAGATGCAGACCCTGGGAGTTTATATAATATTGCAACGTCTGCTATAGTTTCGTACGTCAGGGGTACCTATGTTTATGAACATAGGCTAAGCGTAAAAACGCCCTGACAACCAGGCCGTCATCCAAACCGGTGAGAGATTCCAATCAAATTCAGGATCATATCTAGTAGATCATTTTAGTAGCAGACTGAAGCAAATCGCCAAAGACCATGAGGACTTCAAGGTATCACTGCACTGGATCCTGGGACACATGGATATCCACGGCAACGAGGAAGCGGACAAGCACACAAAGAAAGCAGCTGAGGGACGGCAGCACAACAGCCCCCGCGAGGAGTTACCAGAATATTTGCACTACAACACCCTTCCCCTCAGCATCTCGGCCCTCATAGCAGCACACCGTCAAACGACTCATGAACACTGGGGAAGACTGGCGAAAATCGCCCCGCTTCAATTGCATCAATTGCATTGATCCCAAAATACTTCACCGCTCATTCATCAAGCTAACCGCAGCCTTCCCCAAATGCCTGATGGGAGCTTATTTTGCACTCCGATCCCAGCACGCTCCTCTCAACCATCACCTCCACCGAATTGGCAAACACCCAACACCTTGCTGCCCACACTGCCCGGGAACTAATGAGACAGTCGCGCACTACCTGTTAGATTGTCCACATTATCATGGAGAGAGACACATCCTCGTCAGTGCCTTAGGCCGGAAAGCATCCTCAATGTCCTACCTTCTAACCGAAGCAGAAGCAGTACCACATCTCACTCGGTATCTCAACACAACGGGACGCCTACGAAAGACCTTCGGTGATTTACCGCTTCCTCGCAAGCCACCAGACTGAACGATGCACGTCCCCACGAACACAACAAACTCTCTCTCTTCTCCCTCCCATGAAACACACTGTATCAAAATGTACATCACTCACTCGCCTACACAGAACCTCACTCAACGATGCTTACAAACACATCATAAATGGCCCACACAGCTCATAGGACCATTCATGATATATCCGTTTAACAAGCCCATCATTGCATGTACAAGCTCGCCCTAGGCGACTGAGTACGCGTATATAAATGTTAACTGTTAGACCCAGAATCACGACAGCACATACAAAGTCATATCTCAAGATGAGTGGCACATCTAAAATGGCCGGCGGGGAACAGCAGACTGGTGGAGGCACGCCCTACACCAGGGCATTTGTGCACTCAATATTATCACAGGGACACAGGGGGGTCCTTTAGAGTAGACTAGAGAGTAATGTCCTACATAGAGTACCACTCTGCAAAGGACAGAAATTGGAATTAAAAAAAAAAAGTGTTCTCTGTCACCTTGTGCCAAAATGTCAGAGATCGCTGCCCACATGCTCGCCCCAGGAACTCTGTACTTTCATGCACCACAAAGTCATCAACCCCACTGCCCGATCAAGCCCAGTTTTTCCCCTGATCGCACAAGCTGACCTGTGTGGCTCTTCAGTGTCAGTCCCTGCACAAACATGTTGAAGTAGAAAGACACTAGTCCTCCCGTAGTTATCAAAATCATGTCTGCCGTGGAAGGGGCATGGAGAATGACATGCATGACATCCATATCTGGTTTGGCTGCGGACACCGTGATGACTCGCATGTGGTCTTCATATTTGCAGAAGCAGCCCACTACTGGATACAAGGCCCGGTGACATTGCTTTGAGATGCAGGGAACAAGGAGAGCTCCAGTGATGAATGTGTGCAACTCCTTGAATCCTGTCGCAGCAGTCACGAGGTTTAAGTCTCGTGGGTGAGTGATTGTTTCACCCATCAACATCAGTCTTGCGCAGGATCCGGGTGACAACGGTTTGTGTTTTCTGCATTACTGTCAAGAACGCGCTCTGATGCTGCCCTGTGAAAGGGATGAGGATGTGGCCAAAATGCTGGCGAGCCACGTCTTGTGCAATGACCCTCAGCACGCGACAGGTCCGCGCCATTGTCATGAGGTCGGGGAGATGTAGACTCTCCAACATTATGGTCCAAACGTCTTTGCTGTGGCAATCTACGGTCATTCACAAGGAGAGCATGCTCACGGGAGAGGCACTCACAGTTCATGGGCAAAGTGAGCTCCAGTCGCATGAACCAGTTACAGGATCCCTGCACCCACAGTGGGCTTCATGTGTCAGGAAGTTCTGACACCCAGATTGCCAAGGACTCTGACTTCGTAGTGAGGCACTAAGATGAGCGAGATTGAGAGTTATAAACCCACCGAGCTAAAATTTTGGGTGCAGTAATGCGCCCTCTGGAGTCCGCAGCAAGACATTGTTGTGATCAAACCTTGGAGCGGATCTGGCCCTTGCAGTCTTTTCGAGGCATTGCCACAATGGGAC